CTTAAATGTATTACCGCCAATAAGATGGCAAATCAACTGTAATGCTATATCCTAAAATTTCAAATACAAATTGATTGATGAAAAAAGAAGGCCACCTACAATCAATTGTACTGCACAGATAATGTCAATGTTTTCACAAATGGTATTTTAATAGGCTTCTGAAAAGTTTTTTTTTAACAAAACCATGAAGATCATTAATTACTTCATGTTTTCTGCCCCAAAATATTCTGAAGAAAGTAAGAATCTTAGTGTTATTCTCAGAAAAGGAATATTGTTCAGAAAACATTTATGTCATGTTGCTTTGCTCAGAACTTTTGCTCTTTGGCATATAGTTGTATGTTTTTTAACCTGAAGCATTAGAACTCTCAATCTGATCTTATAAAGAATCCCAAGTACTTCCATCTCTGTTTGAAGTCACTCTGTCAAAAATAAAGCAAATTTGTAGTTGCCAATTATTTGGTATTTTTCTCTGAATTAACACATTAATTAACAAATGTCTCATGATGTGAAATCTAAAAATGCTTCCCTACCTCATCAAGATACTTCCCACTACTTTTTCCCACAACTTTTGTGAGAAAATACTTTAATTGTGAAAAATCTCTTGCAAAATAGGACATTTTACAAGATATAATGGTTTTGATACTCTTGTACACAGTTGTTAAATCTGTGTTAAATAACTAAAGCCAGAATTTAACAAGAATGACTTTTCTCTTTACAACCTCAATTTTAAACCCATACATTTTTTTTTGTGTGGAAATAATTTTAACAACCATTAGCCACCTGCCCATCATTTTACGACAAGCAAGGCTCACCGAACCTGCAATTAGCCAATTACACAAACTATTATATTGCTTGCAATTGTCATCAGAAAAATAAATTCAAGCAGATTTCCCTATACTGCAGGAGAGCTATGTCAATAGCTTGTTTGTAGTCTGGGATATAGCATGACTTTTTTTTTTTTGACAGTAATGACTATAAAATAATTATCAGTTTTGTCACCCCAGTTTTCCCTGTAGTTGCATACAGTTAGATTCAGCATTAATCTCTTTTGTTTTCTTTCAAAGTGAAAATTTGCTGTTTTTCATCAAACTCCAACTTTTGGGACTAAGGATGTGATTTGTAAAAGTATTTCATTTGTTTGGTTGATTAATAGGTACATCATAACAGTTTCTTGACTTGAATTTTAAAATGGATATTTATATTTAAAATATAGATTTTCTCCCTGAATGGATTAGATTTGAAATAACACAGTTCTCTTAACCCTATTTGTACCAAAGACTCGATCCATTGGAAGCTTAAATATTATCTAACTGACTCATTCCCTTTCTTCCCCTGGCCCATTCAAATGCACAGACACAAAGTGTGTGTGCAGTTTTAACAGGATCACACATTTCAACAGACAGCAGGTTAATGATTTTGCATATCCCCAATATTTTTAAAAAATCTGCTGGAGATTACAACTTTGGTTTTATCCAAACATGTCTTATTTTTCAAAATCAAAATATATTTTTTAAATGTTTAAAAATTTAAGTTAAATATTTTTAATATCTCAGCTCTACCTATGTCATGCACAATAAGAAGACTCAGTTCCTTACTGCCTTGAGCATTTTGCTATCTTTCATAAGTATTAAGACAACTTTAATAAAGGAACAGCTGGCATTATGCAAATTCATTGATATGAGAATAACTAATATGAACAGTAAGTTGCATATCTCTGACACACATTTCTCGGGGGAAACCTTTGAATGTGTATTAAACTATTAAAAATAAAAGCAAATGACAATGAAATTAAAAACTCTTGATTTTAATATAATTTTTCCTTTATATTATAACTCTGACATCTAGTATCAGGAAAAACAAACTTTAAATATTTCTCCAAAGTTTCTGCATAAATTCTTAACATGAAAATTAAAATATAGTATTTGTACTCAACATTTTATATTCACATCTCTCTGTATTTTAATACTAAAATAAATCATCATTACAGTTATAGTATTCTTTGAAATTTTTTTACATAAATAGCAAAATTCGAAAAACTTCAACTTGTCTTTTACTATTCATATTCCTAATTCCACAAAGCAGTACATGTCTAGATTTTGAGGCAAGATTTAATATGAAATTTTTACTAAAGTCTTATCACCACTTTCTTACCCTATACTTGTGTGGGTTCAACTTGTCCGGAGTTATCATCTTGGCATCACTTGAAGAGTTTTGGCCGTCTCTGGGAAGCCACAGCAGACTGACTCCCTGACCTTAAGATAACCTTTTTCCCTGACCCAATTTATGACCATTTGCCACAATCTCTTTTTAATTTTTTTCACCAAAGGTGATGTTTCTAATGATAATAGAAAAATGAAATAACTACTTCCTTCCAAATATAACCTGCTCTTTATATTGAAATGAAATCTACAGAAAAGCAAATAATAATGGACCTCAAATTACAGCTTTCCCAAAGAAACATCTATTGTACTTAAATATTTGAGATGATGTTGAGCTGTGTTAAATCCAGCTTATTTTCCTCTTGAGTCTTTTCTCATCACAAATTCAAAATACACTAAAAGCAGGGAAGTCATTTCGCTCTGTGCTCCACTATAATTTTTAACATGTGAACTTTTATAAGGCTTGTTTTCTTTGATTGGCTGATATCTTAAAATGACTAAAATATGTATTTAAATTTTTTGTAGGAAAAGTAATATTTAAACTAAATAAACAAAATGCATGCCTTTATAATATATCTCTTACAAAGCAAACTTTGGAAATGTAAATTGCATGATTAATATAATTTATTGTATTGATAACTGATAAGCATGTAATTCACAATATTAACTTTTTGTTTTTGTTCCAATGAGAAAAAATTTTAATTATATTAGGTGAACACTTTAGGGAGAGAAGAATCAGAAAAATAAAGCAAATTTCTGCAGACATACTAATTTATCCTCGTAGCATATTTTCACAACAACATAAAAGGTTAATTTTTTAAATTATACATTAAGAATAGACAATAATGTTAAAATTATATTTGGCATCATTGGCTCTGCTTCACAGCATACAAAATCTAGTTGACTTTCATTTCACGGAATATAATTAGGAAAAGAAATTGAAGAGGAACAGAGAAAACTAGACTGAATGAATAAAAAATCATTCACTAAAATGAGCCAATTCAAATGCAATTAAAACTTCAAAAAATGTATTAAGCAAAATATAAAAATTGAGTCCCAGCAACATAAGGAAATTGTGTCAAATCATTTTTTTCTAATTGTAGTGAATTGGTTTTTACACTTTTAATCTCTGATTCTTATTGGCACTTCTTTATTAAATTACAAATCACATCTCTTAGAAACGAAGAATAAACTATTTTAATAAAATAATTTATTTGGACAAAACGGTTAACTTATCAGTTATTAATACATGCTTATTTTTTAGATACATTGTAAACTGTTTTTTACATGTAATCACTGATATTTGACCTTCTTTTTAATATTTATATGATTCCATGTGAGTAAACCTATTTTGTTCCCAGTTTTAATTTATTTCAAGCAATTTTATTATAATGCATTTAGCCTTGAAAACTTTTATTTAAGAAATACTAAAACATTAAACATATAATTAACCATCAAAGAAGCTGTTCCTAATCAAACTAGGTTATAGCTCATAACTCCACCCACCAAGCCTATCTCTCATTTAATGGTGGTTCTGAGGTACATTTAAAGTCATAATAAAAACTAAATATGGCCTGACAAGGATTTCATACTTCTATATTTGAATCATTGTGGATGAACTGCAACCTAACTTAATAGGGAGACAAGATTGAAAACCTAACTTAGAAGTATGCGCCTGTAACAACAGCTGAGTCTTGGCCAATCTCAGAAGCCACATGTCAACCACTCGTACACTGCTGAGTGTTCAAACTGTGTTCAGATAAGGCAAACACCAACCTGTACCTGAAGGAGGATTTCTGTTACCCCGTCATGGGACTCTCGATAGGGGTCTCATTTCCTTTACTCAGCCTGCCACTCTCAACTCTTTGTGGGAGGAACAGCGAGAGCAAATGAGGTGAGAACTGGAGTGCTCACTTGGACCCGCTGTGTTTCACCCTTCATGGGAGGGAGCACACAGATGAGTGGGTGCAGGAGCCACAGCAGGTGCTTCTAGGTGCTAGCAGGAGCAAACTCCATGTTGGCCCTGTGGGAGCATCCATTGCTCTTTATCTCTGCTGTCCCTGGATTGCTTAAGTGTTCACAGCTCAATGGGCCCTCTACTTTTGAGCTTGAGGCAGCTGCCTTCTGCCAGTGAGGGCAAAGGGCCAGTGTGAGAGCCTTTTGTATCCATATTTGTGGCTCCTGAGCTCTTGTCTGATGTCCAGGAAAAAGAAAGTCACACAAATAAATTGAAGGATGGCAAATGTGTGGGATGTTATTGCTGATGAAAGTAGCTCTCAGCAGGTAGGGGAGCTGAAAAAGGTATGGGGTGGGCAAGTAATCTTCCCATGAAGAATCTTCCCCTTTAGATTATTCTCTGAAGTTACACCATCAAGCTGTCCCTCAGAAGTCAAGCCGTTTCTCTCCAATGTCCAGCCTTAGTCCCCAACATCCAGCTGTTTCTCCTCTCTGTCAGCTGAGTCTGGGGTCTTTACAGGCACAGGATGTAGGGTGGGGCAGGCCATGGGTAGTTTAGGAAAAGGCAATAGGGTTACAAGTTCTCACTTTGAGCTACTGTTTTACGTTTTTCAGTTTGAGGGTAGGGTTTTGTTGGGTACTTGCATTTTTCTGCCTAGAATTTTTCTGCCCCCCCATCCCTATAATAACCAATTCAGCTATTCCTGTACCTCACTTCTGATTTTTATATGTCACTTTATTTGTCTATAAATTTGTTCTTACCACAAGGCACCCCTGGAGTCTCTCTCAAACTGTTGTGATTCTGGGGGCTGCCTGATTCACAAATTGTTCAATTAAACTTCTTTAAATTTAGTTTGCCTGAAAGTTATTTTTTTTTTTAAACAGATGTAACCAAAATGGGGTCTGAAGTACAGCTGCTAACAACTCCCATGAGCAGAGTGAACAAGCAAGGGACCTGCTGGACCCACTGTGTCCTTTGAACTCTCAGAGCAGGTGGGAATTGTGGTAAGTCCTCTCTCAAATTTCAGAACTCCATGGATTTGTGTTTTCAGCTCTACAAGTTTAGTTGAGCAAATTTTGTTCCATATTGAGTTTGGAAGTCATGACAGAAACTGGACTGGGTCCAGGATCAAATTTGATCTTGTAATTAACTGGCTTGGATCCAGTTAGAGGTCTCTTACATATAACTGGATCAGAAAGAAACTGGTAGTAAGTGGTAATATTGCAGGGTTGTAAAATTTAGGTTTTGAAAATTCATGGGGATTTTTGCATTCTACCCCTTTGTTTCGTTTTTCTTGCATGCTTAGCTAGGAAGAAAATCACTGGGTGAGTTAATCAAGGAAACCAGAAAGCAAAGCCAATAAATAGGTAAAAATGGATATTTAATTTTTGAAAAACTGGGTTTCTTCCAGCTTATACATTAGGCCCAGGAAGCAGCAAAGTCTTACAGAAATGGTGAAATCTTACTAAAGAAAACTTACAGTGGAACGTGCCAAATGAACAACACACCAAAGTGTATTTAAAAATGAGAGCTTGCAAATTAGTGTCACCTAGGGATGCCTATTAATATGCAGAAGCTTCTAAGATCATTTAGACATGATGGGGCCCATCAAGGGGCAAGTTTGAGACTTGCTAGTTTGATATTGGGTGCTAAGCAGAGTAGCTAATTAAAGTCTATGTTTGTCACTCATATTTTGCACTGACCAGAATGGAAAATGCTAATTTGGTTACCCCATACAACCCCTTGGGAAGCATTTTGCAAAACTGAGAAGATTTTGCCTGTGGTTTCATGATTTTTCTTTGTGATGCAGCTTGGCTCCTGGAACTACAGTGTAGCAAGCAGGGTCACCAGGGCTGCTCAGGAAAGGGGAACGCAGAACATGACATGCCAGCAAAAGAGTAAGAATTTCTTACCAGTTAGACTGCTGACCTCTGTCTCTCTCTGTGCCAACTGGTTTAATGAATGGTAAAAATCACTCTTTATCTCCTCTGTAAAGTTTTGATTAATGCAAAAAAGAATTCTGAGGCTAATCTTAAGCTGTAGTGAATCTGGTGTACTTTGTACTATGAATTCATCTTCTGTATCTTTCTGTCATAAAGATGGGTACCTTAGCACAGAATGTGAGCTAGGACACCTATAAGCCCTCTGATCAAGATGACCCAGCAAACTGTTCAGTTATGTTCTAGGGACCATGAGTTTTTGTTTTTGTTCCAATGAGAAAACCACGTGGCAGTACTTTCTCTTTGTCTCCACCGTCACAATGGCAGCCAGGGTTCAATTCCTGGCTCAGGAAATGAATCCTTTCTGGATTGATATCTGCATGACTTTCACCATTTGTTAATTATCTTCCTCTTCATGAACTGTCTTGAATTTTCCTTTCTGTAAGAACCTGAGAGGTTACTTTTGATAAAGTTCAAAAGCCAGATATATTGGCAGTTGGGCATGGCTAAAGTGAGGTAGTAAGAGATTTAAAAGTACTCCACCTTAAAGCTAATAATCCAATGAAAAAACTTAAAAACTAGCAAATGAAAAATCCTACAATTACTGGATCTTCTTCTGTCTGTGTAGTTATATATGTGTTGTGTGTGTGATGTTTATATAAAAGAGCTCTAATTAATTAACTTAAAGAAAAATAATTGGTTAGATCAAATGTTTTGAAAAACAAGTAAAAACTGTAATGCCTTTTAGTTTATGTGACTTTAGTAGTCTTTGGGAACTAAAGACAGTTTTAAAGATTATTGGTTAAATAAAAATATCTTCAAAAATGTAAACATTTGGTTTAGATTATGCAGGTCACATATTAGATTTGCTAAACACCTTAAGGTTATAAACTGCTTCTTTGACTTTTAAACATTGTTCAATTTACATATTTTGAAGCACTAGACTCTAGATAAGGCCTGGGAAATGTGGAATTAGCCATGTCCCCTAGTCATGCAAATAAGGTTATAAACAAAAGAGATTTTATATAAGAAAAGATCTTTCTTTTGTGGTAAATTCTTGTTCTGAAATAAAATGACTAGTTTTTTAAAAAGAGGGATAGTTGGGACAAGTCAGAAAGTTCAAGCATGTCTTAGAAGGTCTGCATGAGTCATGAAAGAATTTGTGAAAGAGAATTGATGCAAAAAATGCTGTACAACTTGCCTGCTTTACAGCTAGGTAAGGCATATGACAAGTGGTGAAGTTAGCCACTCCGCTTAACTTCTCTGGAAAGACTGGAAAAAGTCAGACCTTATCTGCACTTCTGTCTGTGTCCTAGGCCTCACACCTAGTACATAACTAGAATTTCCTACTTACCAAGGTTTTCACCAAAAATAAAAGTCGCTAAGATTTAATATTGTAACATGTAATTGAGATTACTAAAAAAAACCAGTTTTACATGCCAGGTGTGTAAGGAAAGTGAAATGTGTTTTTGGTAAAAAATTATAAGAAGGCATGGAGATGTGGATGCTTTTGCCTAGATTACAAGGCTAAAGAATTGTTTTAAATTTGATAAAATAAAGCTAAATATTTGAAAAAGTTATAGAAGGTTTGTGAAAATATGATCTTGTAAAAAGAAATTCTCTGTGAACATTAGCTATAGTTAAAGGGGTATTATTAAGTTTTTCTCTAAATTGAACATTGGAACAAAAGCACAGCAGGTTTTTCTTAGAGCACCAATCTGCTCTTTCACACAAATTGTAAAGGGTTATAATATGTTTATGATAATCTCACCTTATGGTAAAACTGATTAAGATTGGATAGATTTGTCGATAAGATTTTATTAAAAATTGAAGTAGACATTAATAGTAGACTAATGCAAGGGTGACATTTGGCTCTCTCTCTTGAACAAGATTTCCATGTAATATTAAAGCATGATGACAAATTTTTGTTTGCTTTTTGAATAAATTACTGAAAAAAGAATAGAAAGACAAGAGACAGATTATTTGGAAAGCTAAATCTTCCCTCTATCAATGAGTAAAAGTTTTTGCCTTTTTAAAACATTTTGAGTCTTTATTTTGGCTAAATAAATGATTTATGGTGACCTGGAATTCTATTTCATAATATCAAATGTTTTAGACCTTTCACATATCTGATAGGCTTCCCAAAGCCAAATTTCAGGATGAAAATTGTCTTTTCTGACCTCTAACTTTGGGGTGCTACAGAGGGTCCCCGAAGCACCCAAAAGAGAGGTAAACAGGGCTATTTGATATGTTAGGTTGCATGGGAAGCAGTGTCAAGCTAAGAGATAATGTTTAACCTTCTTTATATTTTAGTTTATATTTTAGCATATGTCATCAACATATTCCAAAATTGTATGGGATTTCTAAAGTTCTAATATGGCTGAGTATTTGTTATCTATCATAATTATGGTTAAGTTTTTGTAGACCACAGAAATAACCAAATCTCCTTGTCTATTGTGTCTTTATAACTATTTAAAGTCATTTTCACAATTAATTGCTTAATGCTGATGCAGTTCCTGAAAACTTCATAAGCACATAAAATCCTAGAATATGGTATCTTTTAGGAGGTTCATTAAAGGATGGAAAGGACCCAGAAAGCACTCTTGAATACAGGCTTCTAATAAATATAAAATCATATCATGTGTAAGAATTTCCCATGAATTCCCTAATTCCCCAAGAATTGGACTGGGTAAGAATTCCTAAAACTTTAATAAAAAGACTGACTGGTTTATAAAACTGATAACACAAATAGAATGACAATTATTTAATTAACAAGTAAATACTTTGCCAAACTTTGCTACATCAGACAATACTGAAATTTTTAGATATACAATTTGAATGAACTCCATGGTCTAAGTCATATTACCTTTGATGACCCATCAGTTACCAGTTATTTGCACCTAAATTGGAAAAATAACTGGTATTCAAGGGGACACAAGTCCAATGTTAAGCATTGACTCATGGAAAATCTGGACAGCTGCCTTGTCTTTCCTGAGCCCTTAAAGCTTTTATAATTAAAAGTCCTGCATTCTATGACTCATCATGGAAAAGATAAAATAATCTAAATTAAATATATTGGTGTGGTAACTTATAAATTGCTAAAATAGTTTATAACCATTGTTTGGTTTGTCAAACCCATATTCTTTTTTTTTTTTTCCTTTTTATTTATTTATTTATTTATTATTATTATACTTTAAGTTGTAGGGTACCTGTGCATAACGTGCAGGTTTGTTACATATGTATACTTGTGCCATGTTGGTGTGCTGCACCCATCAACTTGTCATTTACATCAGGTATAACTCCCAATGCAATCCCTCCCCCCGCCCCCCTCCCCATGATAGGCCCCGGTGTGTGATGTTCCCCTTCCTGAGTCCAAGTGATCTCATTGTTCAGTTCCCACCTATGAGTGAGAACATGCGGTGTTTGGTTTTCTGTTCTTGTGATAGTTTGCTAAGAATGATGGTTTCCAGCTGCATCCATGTTCCTACAAAGGACACAAACTCATCCTTTTTGATGGCTGCATAGTATTCCATGGTGTATATGTGCCACATTTTCTTAATCCAATCTGTCACTGATGGACATTTGGGTTGATTCCAAGTCTTTGCTATTGTGAATAGTGCTGCAATAAACATACGTGTGCATGTGTCTTTGTAGCAGCATAATTTATAATCCTTTGGGTATATACCCAGTAATGGGATGGCTGGGTCATATGGTACATGTAGTTCTAGATCCTTGAGGAATCGCCATACTGTTTTCCATAATGGATGAACTAGTTTACAATCCCACCAACAGTGTAAAAGTGTTCCTATTTCTCCACATCCTCTCCAGCACCTGTTGTTTCCTGACTTTTTAATGATCGCCATTCTAACTGGTGTGAGATGGTATCTCAAATAAAAGAGGACACAAACAAATGGAAGAACATACCATGCTCATGGATAGGAAGAATCAATATAGTGAAAATGGCCATACTGCCCAAGGTAATTTATAGATTCAATGCCATCCCCATCAAGCTACCAATGAGTTTCTTCACAGAATTGGAAAAAACTGCTTTAAAGTTCATATGG